TCCCATAAAATTTTTTCTAGTTTGAGGACAGTATTTTTGCAACAGACTAAAATTATAGCTTCAGCAGGTAAGATCTGGACAGCTTTCCATCTCGGGCTAATTTTGTTCCCCTTGTCACTTTTCTGGCTGACCAGTGCCTTTGAGTTAAGTTCCTACTCTGGCTAGCACAGGAACTATTCAGTACTTTATGCAAATTTGTGACTGGGTGATGATGATAGTCCCTTCCAGGTCTTACTGTTCTGTTCAAAGAATTGGGCAGAACCATTGATGAAGGTGAGAGTTCAACATTTGAGCCTCACAGCAGCCAGGAGCTTAATGGTCCCTGTCTTTTATACCCCTATCCTGAGGTCAGATCTAGGATGTCCCATGAAAACCCACTTGATCTCATGCCAGCAGACCCGCATCAATGCAGGGCTTGGCTTGCGCTCATTACCATGGCAGAACTGAGGACAGTGTGCCCACGCGGTGTCAGAGTCACTGCCCTGCTGTTGACAGGTCATGCCCAGTGCCCACCCAGCTGGCTGTTCCCTCAGCTCCTTTCAGAAGGTTTAATCCAGCCTCAGTCACTTTCTCTGCAGGCACTAAGTACTCAGTGTAGTACTGGAGGAGCCTGTCAGACACCAAGCTTCCCTCTCACTCTCCCCCCTCTGGGGCTCTACTTGCACTGACTTCATCCACTTGGCCTGTGTGAACGTCCCCTCTGCTTCAACTCAGGAAGAGCTCTGGCCTCTGCCTTGCCCTCTCGCGAGCTGCCACATGGAATCTCCCTCCCTGCCCCGGCTGCAGCAGTCACAGGACTCGGCAGACTTGTGGTCCTTGTTTCAGGGGTCACTGCCCTGCGTGGCTCTGTGACTGGTGTCTAAAAACCGCAGAGTTATGCTTTCAAGTTATTTTAGGTGAGAAGGTAGGTACTAGTTTCAGTTCTATCTAGATTGGAAATCAGTATCAAAACCATTTTTGAAGGCAGTTTTTATTTCAATGTTACATGATTATTTTTAAGGAAAGTGGGTAAAAGATGCTGTATCATGTAAAATTTTTAACTCCTGAAGATCTGAATTCAAATTCCAGTTTTGTCCCCTTGGGCAAATTACGAGCTTCTTCACTCCCCTGGGGGAGGTAAAACAGAGTAATGGGTACCTCATAGGGTATGAGAAAGGAAAGTGATATAAATAACCTGCCATGTAAGTGAGGCTCACCTGTTACATTTTCTTTCCTTTTCCCTGAAAATGAGTATCAGTAGAAGCTATCTGTTGGACCCCAGCCTATATTAGTAAGTGATCCCAATCTTCACCTTCTAATATCTAAGATCTTGTTATAGAAAAAAAATCAAGATATGTGATTGAAAAGCCAGACACAAAATGTGATTCTGGGATAACTGCCTGTAAGTTCTGCCCTGTAAAACAGAGTGGGAAGGAAGAGTCTTGTGTCCCGCCCTGTCTACTTCTGGTTTGGCTCTGGCAGTTTTTAAGTGAAAAACAATCCAGAATTCCAGCTCTGTCATGAAAAAACAAACAAATGAAAGAGATTACAAATCATGTGTCTAAGACCTGAAGCCAAATTGGCTCCAGTAGCTGCTGGGATAGTGGTAGAAGCCAATTTCCTGGAGTATTTACAAAATTATTTGTAAGGATAACATGTTCCAGATTTTCACAGGGATAGCTAAAGGTAGAGTTTGGTCTGCAGACCATAAAGTTAGCAGCCATTTAACAGGCCGATTCCGAGAATCTCTCCCACCCTAACTTACTCCCCATGTAGAGGTTTTACATAGGAACTACGATCCAGGACGAGCTACATACCTTTGCTTCTAGAATACCCACAACTTAAAGGAGCAACAGGTGAATACAGTGTTTATCAGAAACAAATGAAATGTGCTTTATGGGAGTTTCTAGCAAACCACAGTCAGATAGATAAAAGATCAGACAAAGGTCTTCTGAGTAAAGATGGCAAAGCATGATTACAGCGTTTCGCTGAGCACTTTCAGCCGCTGAGTACTTTCACACCCAAATTGAATGTGGTTTGACTACTGTACCCAGAGGAGCCCCCTCAGTGGGAATTTCGCCTGCAAATGGTGCCATGTTAGGAACTGAGAAGGACAGAAAGTCCGACTATCTGATGAAGTAAATGTACACGAAGTGGGACCGAGGACCAAGCATGTAAGCTGGGGTACAGGGGCATCGGCCCGGAACACACCGCGTGTGCAGAATGCTCAGAGACCTCAGTGATACCGTCATGCTTGCTGGCCAAACACCCATCCACGCAACCCAGCTGGTACACACAGTAGATTCTGGGATACAAGAACACACCCAGTCAGCTGGACATGGCCTGCTGGGACTCTGCACTTCTGTGGTTGGAACACACTGCTAGTTTTACCTCAGCCAGAGCCACCCAGTTTTCTTTGCCTGAAAAGCCACAGCAACGGGAAAGAACGATGTGAATGGGAAAACACTCCTTGAGAAAAAACACGTGGATCTAGTGCTTAAGAAGATGCTGTTATGGTCTGTATGTAGACGTCCCCTAACAGCCACACAAGCTCAGAGGCGGGCTTTTCAAAGGTGACTGAACCATGGGGATTGGGTCTGACAGGAAGGCTCTCCCTCCCTGGCTCCTCCCTCCCCTCTTTGCTTCTGGCCTGCCCTGATGCAGCAGCTGTCCTCCCTGGGGTCCTCCAGCAGGCCTTTCTGCTTTGCAACTGGCTGACCATGGGCTACAAGTGTGAGTCAAACCTCCGCTCCTTTCAGTTGCGGGCATCAGGTATTTTGTCCCTGTGGTAAGGAAAGGCAGATGCCACTCACATAACCAGCTTACCCCTAAGGAGGGCTGTAAAGGGCCAATGACAGAATTTAACACAGTCTGTAATTTGCAAGGACACCAGATTTAGTAATTTACTTCAACCAAGGTGAAGGCACCTGGCTGTCACACCGTAATAACTGAATGAAAAATCCAAAATTTCAGATTATCTATCTACTTAAATATCCTTAAAGTCTGTTGTATTTTGAAGCTGTCTGGCAGACCTGGCTTGATGGACTGATGTTTTAAAAATGACAGCTATAAATTAAAATAAACTGTTCAAATTTTTTAAAAAGATGAGCAATGAAGAGGCAGAGAGGAGGAAAAGACAGGATTCTGAATCAGTGCAAGACTGTAGTGGGAAGTACAACAGAGGCCTCATCTATATGGAATGGCAATGTGTCCATAAGAAAGGTTTCTTAGCTGGAAAGTAAAAGAAATCTTGACTAAGAGAGCTCTCAGTGGTGGAAGTTTGTTGTCTCAACATGTTCAGTTATGTGGTCACTGGCATCAGTTCAGTGGCTGAAGGTCATCTGGAAAATCTGGAAAGCAGGTGCTTTCCACTTTTCATCCCTGATGTCTTCCATAGTTGTTTTTCATCCTTGTACTCGCTTCATACATGTAAGATTGTTGCTACAGATCTAGACCCAGTAACAAGTAATGTCCTAAACAAGAAAAGAAGGAAGGCACTGAGAAGAGCTTTCCTTTAAGAGGGGAGGGGGAACTCTTTCTAAGATTCTTCTAGACGTTGCGTTACACCTTATTGCTAAAACTGGGTCAAGGAACACCCTTTTAGGAAAGGCTGGTTGGAAAAGTACCTGAATAAGAACAAAGAAGTGATGTAAAAGACCTAAAACATTTCTTATCACATCTGTGCAATTATCCTAAATGCCATCTATTAAAAAAAAAACCAGCGCTCCTAGAAATGTTTCTTCTGTTGCTGTGACCCCTGTGGAGATCCTCACTCCATCAGCCAGCCTCAAAGGCTGCACAGGAGCTCTGGATTTCAAGGAGCACAAAGTAACACTAGAAAGCCGAAGATGGGTGAGGAAGAAGAGGTCAAGCGTGAAGCTGCTAAGGCTGGCTGGGCCGGGGTGCAACTCAGTAGGACACTTGCTGACAGGAGCAAAACGTGGGGCTCAATCCCCAGCACAGAAAGGAAACAAATCCAAAGCTAAGAAAGAGCAAAAAAGGAAGGAAAGAAGGAAAAGGAACCAGGGACAGAGACAGAGAGATGCAGAGATAAAGACAGACGATGGTGATAGTGATGACAGAGATACAGACAGACAGGAAGGGGAGGGTGGGGAGGGAAATTAAAAGGGCACATCTAAGCAATGTCAGCCTCACAACAATCATTCATTTTCTTATTTTTTTTCTTAGTCACTCATTTTCAGTTATCTAAATTCTTCATGAAATTAAAATGAATACTGACAACAGAAGCAGCAACAGGGCAAGGTGTTAGAGGAGATAAAGATTATTCAGTGAACAAGGCCATAATTCAGAAATGAATACTTTTGCCTTTACGGAGCAAAGAACCACTCTGTCACTACATCGAACTGCTTGCTACTTATATGAAAATAAATCACAGGCAGAATGTGGTGAAATCTCTGAGTCACTGGCTTCTCTGCTCCAAATTCAACAAGAACATCTGGGTCCTCGCTCCGAGTGGGCACATCCTTTCTGCCAAGAGGTCTCCACCACCACAGGAAGGATTTGACACTGGCAAGCCATGAAGTTCCTTGAGAGTTAGGAACATCAATTTTCTTTCCCCTTTGGCAGAGGATTTTGAAACTCAGGAATATGATAAAATACAGGTAGAAACTTGGTGGGCGGCGTGATTATCGGGGTCAAATGTTAGCTTAGAATCTATAGGGAGATGTACATTCAGTTGCCACAAGAAAATACTGTGCAACCCATACTCAATATGGCTTGCATCATAAAAGGTTATGTTCACTCTGGATAAAAGAGAATTATAAAACCTGGGAGCAAACAGTAAAGTGGTAAAATTATAAATTAAGTAACAATCGACTACACAACAAATAAAGGCAAAAAAGTAGGCATTAACTAAGTGACAACTATGTCTACAGATCAAGAAAAGAGTTACAGAATTAATACAGAATTCATGGAAAAAGATAACAGAAGGAAAAGTATTATTTCAGAGATGAGTAACAGAATAGATACTGAAATTAGCTAATAAAAAAGTAAAAATCAAATACATTTTGGATAATTTATTGTTTTCCAAGCTCAATCTCGGTTGGTACTGGCTCTTGGATTTTATTAATACAGGAACGAGCAAGAAAATGAGCTCAGTACTGTTGCTCCAAATGCACTGTTTTCAGTTCACACAGAGATTCTGGGAAGATTAAGGGGGCAGATTACTATTTATCGTGATCATTTTTGGAGCAAACTTATCCGACATGATTTCTTCACAATTTAAATAAACTTAAAGATGTGTTTTGGGAGGGAGACATCCATGTGACTTTATTTATGAGGCCAAGAAACTGTCAATGAATACCTGAGTAAAGGGAGACAGATCGACTTTGTGTTTCAGGAACACAAAGTTTTTTCTTATTTGCTAGAACAAGTACCTCGAGTCTGTCTCAGTGAAATCGAACTGAATTTGATTCACCACTGCAAGCGAGCTAACTGCCCATTCAAGCTACACATTCTCTACCATTCTCTTCATTGATGTTATTTTATTTTACATTTTCATGTAAAATAAAAACATAAGTGCAATTTGTTAAAAAAAAAACTCATAGTATGCAACTGTTTGACCAGATTTTTACTATGCAATCTCTGCAAACTGCAACAGAATTTGTCTTTCAATATCACAGTCTTTAATGTCAATGAAAATAGTAACTTACAGATTAAAATGTGTTTTTAACCTAAGAGGAAAAATATTATAAACACAAATTCTGCACAGAAAACAATGAGGTGCAGGTAGCTGTGCTTTTTCAGTGCTTTAATACTTCATTTTTAAAAGTAAACAGTACCAATCATTTTGATTCCAGTGAATAAAAACTTAAAATTATATTGACTAATCAAAGTTGAAGTCTGAAACCAAAATGATCTTTTAACAGTATTGCCACAGAGACAAGTCCACTCTAAAAAGTCAATCACAATTGAAATTTTGACAAAAAGCAGCTCTCTGTTGCTGTGTACTAGAGTTTGTCTTTTTGTTGGGTTTCAATTTGCTATAGCAACCAAGGGTCAGATTACATATAAACCAAAGTATACAATGCGTGATAAAGTCAAATACGGAATTAAGCACTTATAACACCTCGGTTATAATTCCTGCTGCAACACACATTCTACTGAATAATTTATAGCGGCCTAAAAACTTTTAGCGACAAAACTGTATTTTAAAAAAATCACCATTCCTATATGTTACATTAACTGTAGACATCACAACCATTTAAGCTTCTCATTTAGAGACATATAACCTTTCCCTGAAAAGCTCGAAATAGTGATCATATTTCAATCAGCTGTCCTGAATTACTTTTATAATCAGCTTTGCCTATATTTGTTACTTCTTTAATCCAGAGTAAAAAGAATGAGAGTGATTTCTGAAAAGTAAGCTGGAGAACATGAATCCAATTAATAATAAAATGGACTTTCTAATAACCACTGTATGTGAATACTGTTTTTAGTTGTAAAATATCCATTATTTAGGAGAAACAGGTGAGAAGGTACAAACTGCTAAACTTGTCAAAACTTCTTTTGATCTATAGGACTTTGATCTCTTCCAAAAAAAACAATAGCATACAAACTGAACAATAAAGAATTCAGTCTCTATAAATGAAAAATATATATATATATATAATATTTCTATAGGTTTAAAAGATTTGTTTTTAAATATTCAAGTGTAATCCTATCATAAAAGATTAAAACACACATTTCAACTATAGCAGACGTGGATTTCTATTTGTTCCTAACCCATTAAATGCAGGCTCACTGGGCTCCGAACAGCTCACCTGCTCAGGGAGAGACGGTGTTATCGGCTGACATGAAGAGCACAGATACCACAGCATTTACCATTCGGGTGAGACCCACTTTTACATCCCTGAAATACAAACAGCTGCTTTGTCCAATTACACTGCTCTACACTAAAGCGGCACTATCTGTGAAGATTCCTTCAAATCTAACATTCCACCTCTACATATATCAAATCAAATTTTAAAAAATAACAGACCAAATCCATGTACCCGTGATCCTTTGTAAATCTGAACATGTAGAAACATTCTTAGTTTTAACCAGGAATTACATTGGAATGAAACAAAGGTATCTCTTAAAGTAATTTTAAGTGTATTCTACATAGATGACTCAATATTCTTTGTGGACATAATTTAATCAATAATATATCATAATGGCACCCACTATTGTGATTCAGAATTAGATTCTGGCTATAGAGGAAGCTTAATTATTAAGCAACACCTTTCTAAAAAGCTTCTGTATTTCTGATTGATAATAAAACAACAACAACAAAATCTCTCAATGAAATAACACTGAAGTTTGAGCTTGGGCCCTCTTCTTTGTGTTAAACAATCAACTCTTCAGCATTAAATGAGACATGAAGTCACATTAATAAATTATAGTCATCTTCAAGAAAACTCTATTGGTAACTCTGGTGTTTCAACTGTGTATCTTGGATCCAGTCTGGGGGTGAAATCCTGAAAATGCTTAGATGCACCAGTACCAAAAACATCAAGGGCTTTTCGATTCATTACAGCAAATCTGCAAAAGAGAGGATACAAGGAACTATTTAGTGAAGTGTATAAAATAAAGTGGCTGACTTTATTTGACTTTAGTTTTCCTGAAATGGAGAAATGCAAGTGCTGACACGGACAATGATCTAAACTCTGGCCGACTCAGCTCACATGAATACTTCACTGTCTAGGATTCACCTGAAACCATAGAGTACAACCATTATTTCAAATCTTTCTGGAGTTCTTTTCACTATACTGTGTCAAACAGAAAATTAGGCTCATTATTATTTTTCTGGTAAATGAAACCACAGGAAACTAAACAATGAAGAAGCTAACATTTACCAGTGGAGCAAAGGTATAACGTAATTTCTCTCACGAATGAGATCGCAGTATCTCAACATCATAATAAAACACATCCAGATATGCAAATGTCTTATGATTAAAAAAGCAAACAGATACAGGTTCCTAAATTTCTAGTAGACACAACAGAGTAAAAATACAGCCTTATCTTACCTATCACCTAACCAAAAGAAACAAATTTTAAAAAGGCACACATTTAGCTAATGTACAGGATGGAGCTCTAGTGCCTCTATGCCTGTTCACAAGCACTTCCTTTCCAGAGGAGAGGACAGAGCAAAATTAGCTTTGAATCATTGGCCAGCATCAATATTCCAAGAGTCAATGTGACTTTTAGTTCTTTTCTAAAGTAAGTTCATGTCCAGAAGAACAACTTGTAAAACTTATAAATGTGCGGAAATTATATGATTAAAAAAAAAAAAAAAAAAAAAAAACCAAAGATGAAACAACAGACACCAGATTCTGAAGCCAGACTGCCTGGCTTATATCCCTGCTCTTTTCATTTATTACCTGTGTGACTCCGGCAAGCCACGTAACATCTCTGTGATCCTAAGTTTCCTCGTACGTAAAACAATGATGACAACAGTACCTATCTCAGGAAACTATTTTTAAGGATTAAACATAGAGGCAACATATATGTGTACCTTAAAGCACTGTAACCACTATGCAAGCATCTGCTCTTATTATTATTGACAGTAATATCCATAGCCCCTGTAATTTAGTGTCCACAGAGTGTGGGGCACTGCTAAAATACCCTCAATTTCCCACAATCATACAGTGGGATGGGCTGCGGTCTGGATATGGTTTGTCACCCTAAGGTTCATGTACTAGAGCCCTGGTCTCAGTGTGGCGGAACTGAAGTGGGACTTTTAAGTGGTGAAGCCCAGTGGAAGGAAAATAGGTCACAGAGATGCTACCCTCAGAACTGGATTAATACTACTTCTGGAGAGCATTTTGGGTCCTGGAAGTCTGACAGTTCCCACAAGCACAAGTTATTATAAAGCAAGGCCACATCACGTGCTTGTCCCAGTACATGTGGCCAGTTCCCTTTCTGCTTCTCTGTCACGCTGATACAGCCAGACGACCCTTACCAGAATGCCAACATCACAGTGTTTGGAACTCCCAGCTATTAGACTCATGAGCCAAGGTGGCCTCTTTTCTTTCTATGTTATCCTGTGCCAGGTATTCCATTATCATTTCATTATAGAGAGAAAGAAACTTAGTCAAAGTAAGTAAGTTTCCCACAGAAAAAATGACTGAAGGTATCAGTGTCGCAGTCAAACTTAGGTCTGCCTGACCCTAAACCCCATGTTTCTGTTAGGTTAAACTGTCTCCCCCAAAATTAGATTGAGACGAAGAAAAAAAGAAAGAAGGGGGGAGAGGAAAGAGAGGGAGGGAGTAGGATGAGAGAGAGAGGAGGAGGAGGAAGATGAGAAGGAAGAAGGACTAGGGAGGGAGTGGAGGAAGCAAAGGAGGGAGAAAGAGAAGACAGGGAAGAGAAGAATATCACAGGGAAGGCAGAGGAAAGTGCACTTTACAGTATCAGGCAATGGAAGGTCGTTATTTTTCCAAAGCAGAAATCAATTAATTATGTAGAGGTGAACCATTTTAATAAATCTGTTTAATATTTTTAATCAAAAAAAAGATCTAAGATTCAAAAAGGTAGGCTTCAGTATTATGGAGCAACTAATTAGCAGTTAACAAATCAATGATATTACTCTAGAACACCTGAAATATCTAAAATATTATAAAGAAAAAGAATAATATTCACTTGAAGGATGTCCCACATATTTCTTATCAAGTTGGTAATACTGGATTTATATGTAAGTACCTACAGTCACTGAAGGAACATTCCCTCAAGAAGACCAAGTTTCATCTTTTTATAGAAGCTGCTCTTTGTCTATAAGCATTCAGAACATCTCCGTCACTTACCTTCCCTTGGTGAGCCTTAAAAGGAACTTCCAGTAAGATGGTCGCAAGTTCTGAACTTCCATTACAGCCTAAGATTATTCAATTTGAGATTTCTTTTAGTAGATACAAATATTATCCACAACCCTAGGCAACAAAATAATTTGTATATCTAGATGTACTGCTTGTTGTATTTTTCAAATGATAGTGATGACAATAATTAAAAAAACATGTATTTGTATTTAAGTTCAGAGCCATCAACCATCTTTGAAAATATGCCTTAAATAATAAAGTCAACAGCTACTGACATCAGAAAGCACTCACTGAGCACCCGTTAGAGAGGGGGCACTTCACTGAGTTTCATTAGTTTACCAACCTGGCAGCATTCCTGTGAGAAAAGGGCAAATTAAAGCTCTTCCCAAAACTCTGCAACAGCCCTTGATCATTACCACAAATAACGACCATTACAGAAGGAAGAGATTAAACGACACCTCTAGGAAACCAGCTGCTCCCTCACCTTCATTCTGAGTAACACTGGGAAGATATTTATGCCCAAGGTATCTTTTTTCTTAAAGAAGGATAATTAAATTAGGGCACTCTACTCACTGTCCTGTAAGATGGCTTTATCTACAGATTATGCTCTATTTAAACCTAAAAACTGGTTGGCTCATAAAACAAGGCCTGGCCAATGTTAACAGGTATACTGATTTGAAACATTTAAGCTATGTTGCTGAGAAAACAACAAAAAACATAAAATATAATATCAGAAATGTTTCCAAGCTGTTATTTTCCCTCACTAGATTAATGTAAATTGAAAACAAATTTCTATTTCTCCTTTCAAATGTCGTACTTACTGCATGGAAACAAACTGCTGTAGAGATGGAGTAAATGATAGTATCTGCGTGAGGAAAATAGGGAACCTTCCCCGCTTGAATGCCTTTGAAATATATTGTCTGCAAAACAAGCATAAGGCAAGAGTCACATAAAAAAACATTAAATGGCAACACTGTTGAGCAGTATGTTCCCCACCCATAACTATGTCTTCTACCTATCTGGATCCTAATGCTTCCCCCAGACCTCAAATTGTGTTATAGGTCCTACGACAATGTCAGTGTCAGCCCATCTCTCTCTTTCACTCCAACCCCCAGCAACACTGTTCTGTGAAATTCAATAGCATTTCATTACTACTGACTTGATGTCATTTATTCTCATTTCTTTATTCTTAATGCTTTTTATAAGTGCACAGGTCCTCCCTTCCTTGTTAGAGCTATCCATTCATGCATTCATGGAAAATTTAATAATATTAACTATATGCTGAACACAATAATAGGAACAAGGGATTTAAAGTGAGCACAGTATAATGTATAGCCGGGGATATAGCTCAGTGGCACAAGTGTCTGCCTGGCAAGCATATGGTCATGAGTGCAATTCCTGGGACCCCGCCAAAACAAAAAACAAACATAAAAAACTATAATGTACAGTAAGTATCACTAACGCATGAACTGGGTGTGTGTGTGTGTAAGTAAAACTTGGCTTCTCAGAGGAAGGAATGATCACTTTTTCTGGAACAGAAAAATTGCATTTGAGTAGTGTTTCTAAAACCATCTGCAGTGAAGAACCACTTTTTAAATTTGTAACTGTCATGATTTGATGTGACTACAATGCAATAAAATGAATTATTGGAAAAATAAATTTAAAAACATAATTGAACTAAATTTATCAAACAGTATTTATACTATGAAATTTATAGTATGAATTTATATTATGAAATTCAAAAGATAAAACACTACTCTGTCAAAGTGCTATAAAGTTTCTCAATACCTACTCTCTAGTAGTAGTAAACAGTTCATGAACTAACACAGTGGTCTGCTGTTGACATTTTTCATAATGTTGCCTTATAAGACACCCATGATCAACAACTAGGTAAGAAAGAAAATGTGGGCTTAAGCAGCAGGCATGAATGCACATCTCATACATATTTCATTTCTCTCCTTCTCGCTCTCTCTCTGTCTCTGAACCAAAATAAAACTTTACTCTTTATAAGATGAATTAGCTCAGGTATTACAGTAACAGAAAGCTAACACAAAGCAGCTGATTTGATAGCATTTTCACTATGTAGTAACACTTCAACCTAATATTAACTTCAATCATAGAAAAACAACTGTGAGACTATTTTAATTAACTGCACAAAGGACATGGTAAGCTTACATTTCTATTTTTCTTTTATTAATAGAAAATCCTCATCAGCACATTCCATACAAGTTTAATTTGCCAAAATCAGCTTAAACTAGATGACACAAAACACAGACAGACAATGTTATTTGGCTTTAAAAACTAGCCACACAAGGAAATAACTATAAAAGACCACTTACAAACTAGATTTCAATATTGGTTTCCTCTGTGTCAAAGAACACACTTTGCTATCCAGGAGTTATTTGCTACCCTATTCCTCTTTTCTTCTTCACTAGCAGGCTTGTCAACTCTACTCCTAAACAAACATCAACTGCGTAATTCTGTGTCAGTTTTCCTTGCTGTGACAAAATACCTGAGAAAATCAACTGAAAGGAGAAAAATTTATTTGCCTCATGGTTTCACGGTCACTTCAAGAGCTGCTTCTGAGCCAGGGTGAGGCAGAATATCATGGTGCAGCATGTGGTAGAGCAAAGCTACTCACCCTATTCACCAGGTGGAGGCTGGGAGGCAGAGGGGCAAGGTGGGAAGAAGAAAAGGAAGTGGGGAGGCAGACTGCTGATATCACCTTTCAGGGCAAAGCTCCAGTGATGTCACTTCCTTCTAGACCACACCTCATAGCATCACAGGCTGATAACCAAGCCTTCAGCACACGGCCTCTGGGGGACATCTCAGGTCCGAACCATAACTTCTCTCTGTCTCTGCAACTGGAACAGGCTACCATCTCCTGCTCGAGACCATGTGCTCCTAGTTCAGAAGTCTCCTCTCCCTCTAATACACTCTCTATGTAATACCCAAATAGCTCTTCTTAAAATGTAAATTAAATCATGCCATTTCATGCCTTGAACTCTTCAGGGGCTTCAAACTGTATTGAGAATAAAACCAAACTAGTCACCCTAGCTTTTAAAAATCCTACAGGGTTTGTTCTCTGCCATCTTCCTTATTTCCTTACCTATACATTCTCCCCTCAACCTCCCTCCACACATACACACACACACGGAAATATATACTGTAATTCTCCTAATGGCATTAGGAACATGGATTTTCAGTGTAAGACAAAACATTTAAAAATCAAACGAGCAAGATCTATAATCTTAACTTTGAACTAGAAGTAATCAATATGCTCCAAATTTATCCTCCCTCCTTCCTTCTCTCTTTCTCTCTCTCTTTCTCTCCCCCTCCTCTCATAGAAAAAACTCTGTTTACTGAGAAGGCCAAGAAACAATGAATAGGCACCCAGACTGAAGTCTCTAAATAGCTTTTCCCACTATTAGAGAACAGACTAATTGTTTGTCTGGGAAATAAAATATCCCAGATGAGCCTGGAATATCTTGATTTATAGCAAGAGTATCAAAGTATCAAAGATAATGGTCTATGTCAAAAAACAAGGAGTCCAGCCAGGCATGTGGCACATGCCTATAATCCCAGGACATGAAAGGCTCAAGCAAGAGTTTAAGGCCAACCAGAAGTACAGAGTGAGACACTGTCTCAAAAAGTAGGCAAAGATGGGGACAATTTGAGCATAATAAATACAATAGGTTAAGACAAATCAGGTATGTTAAAATCCATGGCCTCATAATGGTACCTGAAAATAAAGACTCACAGGTCAATTTTGGGGGATGCTAAGGTACTAACTCATTCTGAATGCTGATAAAAAAGAGAAATAAGTATTTTATTTTCACTTTCCTGAACAAACTATTTCAGAGTAACCAAATACTTGAAAACGGAAAGCTCTTGTAGAAGCATTTGTGCTAATGAATACAGAAGAAAGAATAACAGTAGATTGTCACTATTTTGTAACTCCTAATGAAATAATGAACCCCAATAATGATCATTAATGGCTGCTGAAACAATTAGGTGAAAGGCTACTGGGGAACCTAAAGTTGGTTCTCTCAACACCTGGTCCAATGATTAATCTTAGCAGTACAAAAAGAGAGTCAGACATTACTGATGTTCCTAAAGCAATGAAACAGGACATTCACACACAAAGTAAATGTGAACTATTTCCACCATCTTACCCTCCTCAAAAATTACACTTGAATTTGCTTAAGCCTATAGAAGTAGTTAACAGCTTACAGGAGATATATGAATCAAGGAACATAATAAATATCAGCAGCAAATCAGCAAAAACTAAAATGTGGGAAATTCCACGGGACTAGCGATCCGTACCTTCAACAAATAAACAGCAAGCAAAAAGGAGGAGAACAAAAGAGAGATAATCATTACAAATTAAAAGAGACTCTGCTTGAGGCTTGATTCAAAGAGACTGCACAAAGACATTTATAAGGTAATTCAATATATGATAATACTAAGGAATTGTAAGGGTTCTCTAAAACATATGATGACAGTATTGTGCATATATTTTGGTGGAATTATTGACTTGTTTTTAAGAAGTCTTAATCCTGAGTTTTTACAGAAGAAGTGCTACCAAGTCTAAGATTCACTTTAAAAACAATTCAGTACTGGGGTAATGAGTAGAATGAAAGGAGACTGGCCAATGGATACATGAGGGCTATTCCATTATTCTTGCTACACAAGTGTATATTTAAAAATAGAACAAACGGGGCTGGGGATTTAGCTCAGTGGCAAAAGCGCCTGCCTGGCAAGCGCAAGGTCGTGTGTTCGGCTCCCGGTACCGGAGAAAAACCAAAAAAAAAAAAAAAAAAAAAAAATTTAAATTTAAAAATAGCACAAACACAAAACTGAGAGAACTGACTTTATAGAATGTGAATTTGCTTTGTAAAGTACATACATGTATTTGCCACTAAAGAAATTAGCAACTAAAAAAGCTTTATATTTTTTGAGATTCTTTTTAAGATTTTTATTAATACCTGTTTTATAGTACATATAGTAATGACTATATTCATTGTGGGGAGATGGTGGGGAAGGGGATAAAAGGGAATTAAAAAGCTTTATATCTTTTGGAACTATTCAAGCATAAAAATGTTGGCTTACCTCTACCAATTTGGAAGCTAAATACATGGAAATTGTTGTGCTTTTATAAAACATCATCGATATACCTGCCAAAAATCCTGAAACAACAAGTAAGGAAAAACTGATCAGATTGCAATGTATTCAATCAAAAAATCAAAACATGAAAGAACTCACATGTAGCACTGCCTCTTGTTACAACATAATCAAATATAGTAATATACTTGACAACATTAAAAAAGTGAGTCCTTATACTCACAGTTTTAAAATTTAAAAACCTGAATTTCAGAGGTAAAAACAATTCTAACATACAAATAATAATAAACTTTACATTTCAAGATTAACTTTACAAACATTGGTGGTCTTGCCAAATACATTAACTTTTTAAAATAACTTTTAAAAGCTACTGGTATCATATCTGATTTCAAGTGGGAATATTTATTCATCTATAAGTGGAAAATGGGGGATGGAATACTAATAGCATTATCATTAATAAATTATCTGACAAGTGATTACTTAATTTAAGTAGTATATATACTGTACTTTGGAAAATAAGCTTTAGTTTTAAAATTTACAAAATAATTTAAATTCTTTATAAAATTATTAAATATATATCATTTTCCACTGGTAAAAAGAATTTTTAAAGAAATCTACTTGAAATTCCATTAATCATATATACAATATTGAAACCATTTTGCTCTTTTGTGACACCTTCCCTAAGACTTCTGGCCTATAGCAGCACAGACCCCATAGTCATTATATGCCAAAGCAACAGATAACAACAATCTATTGATATGATTAACTGTGCAGACAGAACGTTTGGGCAAGTCTCTCCAGAGTGAGTCCATGCAACACAGAAAAGAAACTAACAGAAACTGAAAGAATTTGGAAGCATTTTCTGATTCACTGCTACCACTGACTGATACAGTAATACCCATTCTTTACTACTACTACTACTACTTATGATTATTATTATTATTGCTTTACCAGCTATAATAGCATGTAGTTCATCATCCAGATTTCTGATCCAGCGCAAGAAGCAACTAGTACCCTGTGTTAAGGAGAAAATGCAATGACTTCAGTTATTTTATTTGTAAAACCTCATGAAAACAAAAACAACAGGTATGATTCACTCACTAGATGGCCTTGGAGACAAACTAGTGATATTATATCAATCTGACTGAATACACAATTGAGGAAATTATGAACAACAATCTGTTTATTGCTCTGGATAGACTCTATGAAGAAATTACATATTATACTTTTCTTGCACTGATGTTTCAAAATAAACCCATAAAGTGTACTTTTGCCCAAATGTGGAGCGCTAGGGAAGATGTTACTCCCACCTAAAAGGGGGAATAAACTATAAGGCTCTCCAGGCAGAATTCTATTCCCACAGAACATATAGTCTTTTTTTTGTACTGGGAATTGAGCTCAGGACCTTGAGCTTGCCAGGCAGGCATTTGTGCCACTGAGCTACATCCCTGGCCCAGAACATAAATTCTTAATAGTGTAGGTGAAACAAAGACTTTTTCTGAAAAAAAAGTTGGAGAAAATTTATCATCAGCAGACCTGTGCTACCGGAAAAGGTAGCTCTTCAGGCAGAAAGAATATAACAGACAAGAATTTAGATGTATAAAAAGACATGAAGAGCTCTGAAAACAGGAAAATAAGGGCAAATTTAGAAGATACGTTTCTCATCTTTAATTACTCTAAAAGTGAATTAACTGCCTAAACCAAGGTCCAACAAATTATATCCCACTGTCCAGATCTGTCCTGCCACCTGGTTTTCCACGGCTCAGGAGCTAATACTGTCTTTTTGTTTGCTTATTTTATTCACTGTTTTCAGACAAAGTCTCACTGTTGCCTAGACTGGCCTTGAATGCCTGGGCTTAAATGAAGCTCCTGCCTCATCCTCCCAAGTAGCGGGGTCTACAGAAGTGTGTCACTGCACCTGCCTTGGCTTTTAATACAGATTTTTATGGTTAGGTGGGTAAAAAATAAATCAAAAGAATAATATTTTATGGTATAAAAATTATATGAAAGTGTATAAAGTGATAAAGTTTCCCTGGCACACAGCCCTGCTCATTCAGGAGGTATCACCTATGGCCGCTCTCGCGTTAGAACAGCACAGCTGACTAGTTGTGACAGTGGCCACATGGCCAGAAGGCCTAAATATTTACTATCTGGTCCTTTAGGGAACAAGTTTGCTGACCACTAGTCTAAAGCAAATATAGTAACCATGTATTGTGGAATGTATTACATCTGTAGGCATAAATGTAGAGCACAAAAATGGAAAGGAAGAATTACAAGTATAGTGCTGTAAGGTTCTTAATTTATGCATGAAGTGATATACTACTAAAGATACATTGATAAATTTAAAATGTGTATTTCAAACGTTAAGGCAAGTGCTAAGTTTAGAAACAGAAGTATTAACAACAAGCCAATAATAAAGATAGAATGGAGCCATGCAAAAATACACAATCAATCCAAAAAGCACAAAAGAAAGAGAAGAAAAAAATGGTATAAATTTGCAACAACTAGTAAGAAGGTAGATGTTAGCTCAATGACATCATAAATATGTTGAGTGTAAATAGTCTAAACATACCAATTAAAGATAAAGATAATCACACTTGGTAAGAAAGAACTATATAGCGCATAAAAGAAACCAACTGTTTAAATGAACACAGAAATATTAAAAGAATATCAACACTATACCATTAAACACTGATCAAAAGAAAGCTGGAGAAGCTGTATTAATATCAGACATAGTACATTTTAGAACAAGGTTTATTACCAGAGATGAAAAGGAACATTACAGGCCAGACATGGTGGCACATGCCTGTAATTCCAGCACTCTGGCAGGCTGAGGTGGGAGGATTGCAGGTTCGAGCCCAGCCTGGGAAACTTACCAAGATCCTGTCTCAAAATAAAAATACAAAAAGGGATTGGGATCTATCTCAGAACCAAGGCTCTGGATTCAATCTCCAATACCAAAACCAAAAACAAACAAATGAAACCAAAAAGGAACATTAAAAATGTAAAAAGGATCAGGTCACCAAAAAAACAGACAAAGAGTAAGATTTATCTGTCTGCTCTTATCTTAACTGTATATCTACAGAGATGGAGTGGGATAGAAAATTTGTTTCAAAAAATCATATGTAGTGTTGGAACAAAATATATAAATGTTTCATGCAATTTTTTGACTCAGCTGTATGTACTCAGTTAAATACTTTCAGTTCCTATTACCTTAGCACATAAAGAGTAAAAGAAATTTTAAAAAACAATACATAATATGCACTGAGATAGTGGCGATGGTGGAGAATAACCAACCTGGCACTAAAAGTGAAGATAATCCACAAGGAAACACAGAAAGCTTTAGTTATGAATACATACAAACACTGTAACATGGGAGATGAAAAAAATGTGAACATAAACATATAATTACCAATATCTGTCCTTAACTCATTTATTAAGACAGATTAGTAATGCCTCCCACTCAACTGTATTTTTATACCAGTAATAATTTAAAATAAGTGATAAATTGTAGTTTATCTATAGTTTGTTGCTCCTTTCTATATCAAATAACTTTTTCATACCTACCTTTTATGAGTAAAGTTTTACATAAATGATACATAACCATTTCACCTAAATAACTGAATTCTTTTCAGTATTGTCTTTGAGTTTAACAAGAGTAAAGTATATACACATATATATACACACACTGTATATGCATTCTAACAAGTCAATCTTAACATCTGCCATTTAGAACCCATATTTAGGTTTTGAATCTCAGTTTTATGTCACAGGATATGTCAGTAGTATTAACATTTTAGTGATGTGCATGAAACAAAAGGCTGTTACAGACAGCAATATGTCAACAATGGTCTCTGTGTTTAGGTGTGGTTTTATACCTAAGGGCCCATTTAAAGAAATAAACAGGAAGGGGCAGAGAGGGGTTAGCTGGTTACTAAAACAATGTAGCATGGATAGAAGTGAAATAAGTCACTGCTTATATAAGTTACAGCAGAAATTTTTATTCAATCAATTACTGACTTAATAATAACCAGGTAGTAAATAGGATTAAGAAAAGCATCCCAGGGATACTGCCATTTTTGACATTAAAAATATCAGAAAAGTCCTGTTTTCTCAGTCTGTTAAAAAAAATAGGTCTGGGAAGTTTTAATAATACTTGTAAATATAATGCATCTACATATTCAAGCACACTAAATAACATCAAAAAAAAAATTCTCCAAACTAAATTCCCAATGTATTATATATTTAGTCATGTAGAGATATTCATATATGCCAAAGGGAGGCATTAAATAAAACAACAGCTGAATTAAACCTGTATTTCATTCTAACAACAGCCATGCTATTCTTGTTTTTTCCTCTCTGACAACCTTACCTTGTATATACTAACAAAAGAGCCAAGAAAAGCTCCGAGCTGGAAGTTTTCTTTATTGTAGAACAGGGAAAGTAGCCGGGAGGGCTGCGTAAACAGATGCCTAAACGCAGAGGGGATTCTGAGGCAGCACTGGATCAAATACCCGACGCTAAACATTCTGATAAAACCCTAGAGAAAAAATTGGAAGGAAATTCTGATTTACAACTACATTTTGAAGTCTGATAGAACATGAACTTTACCATCTCAGAAGCAAAGCAAAAAATACTTAATACAAGCTCATATCACAATTCCTTTTTGTTTTAAAGAGAAAAGAACAAAGACAATATAATAAAAACAATACAGAATTTCAAAACAAGATGATAAGAAATCAACAATGGTTGTTGTATTACTTATTGTTATCTTCAAAGTAGTTGCCCAGATTACCAAATACAGGCATGCAAGATTGATCAAGCAATTAAACATTAACAGTTCCTTTCAATAAACCAACAGAAATCAGCAGTACAATTATCCCAGCTATCCTGTCGGTGTATATATACATATATATTTTTCCCTTCCTTCTTTCTTTCCTGCTCTCCCTCATCCCACTTGTTCCTCCCCACTGAGCAGTTTCTTTCTCTTTCACAATATCTACTGTACCTTTCAGATTTTATTTACTCTTTCAGGTTCTTACACTAGGGAGACAATATGGTGTTTACACATGCGAGTCTGATTTATTTCACTTAAATTGTGAAAACTCATTCACATGACTTTTCATGTATTCAGAATATATTCGCTGAATGCCTATTATGTGCCAAGCATTATACTAGACACAGTAGTAAAGAAGACACAAAATTCTTGCATTCCTGGAGCTTTACACATTCATTACAGAAAGAGAAAATAAGTAAACAAATAAATATAGAATAATTATAGGTTATAATAAATATTATGAAGGAAATAATCACGGTATTAGAATAATCTCTATTAGAAAAAAACGAAAGCTATAAAGATATAGCATTCAAATAAACCCAAAAGCGAAGGAGCTAGCAGGAAAAAATTTCACACAACTAGAAAGAAAGTACAAAGCCAATAAGGAGGCTGGCAGTTACAAGGAACCAGCAAAAATAAAAGTATTATGAGTTCAGGAGAATGTAATTAATATAAATATTTACTCAGAGACATGATTTAACATGTGGTGTACCTAAGTCCATAAAATAATGTGGTGTACTGTCAAAAAATTACTGTATTTGTGGTATAAATTCCTCACCCACAGGCTTACACATAGTCTCACATGCATGGATATAATACTCCAATTTACACAGAAATTACCATGTTTACAATACTTGCACACATTTGAAAGAATCACTAGGTGTTTCCATCACTTTGTAATTCTTGCTTATTTTCTCTTCTTTTTTTTTTTTTGAGATAGGATCTCAGACTGGCCTTTAATTCACTATGTAGCTTGGGCTGGCCTGGAACTTGTAGTGATCCTTCTGCCTCAGCCTCCCAAGTGCTTGGATTATAGGCATGTGCCATCATGCCCTGATACTCAAAAACTTCTAATATCACCAATCTTAAATTTTTCAAATACTTCTCAATCTTAGAATTCTTCTCTTAGTTCTTCTCCTGATTTCTCCCTTTAAGCTATAATCATGTTTAGTTCATTAGCCAGCAGATTCTGAGATTGCCAACAATGTCTTTTTTCCTTTTTCTTTTTTCTTTTCATTTCTTCCCTTTCCCTTCCCCTTTCTCCTTTCCTTTCCTTCCCACTTTAAAAGTGAAACAAGAAGGCTTCGCACATAGCTCAGTGGTAGAGCACCTGCCTGGCACATGAAGCACTGGGTTTGATCCCCAGGACAGAAACAGAAAGTGAAGCAGGAGATCAAATGTGGAAAAAGAAGATCAGAAACTACTGTACAACTGAAAAAGTACTCTTCCGCTTTTAACCCTTCTAGTAACGTTGAGGGTTCTGAAGGTAAATGTGGGCTTGGAAAAATGCCATGGCAACCCTGGGCTCCATGCACATTCACAAGTACTGAAGTGGGGCGGGGCCTCCTTTCTACAGTAACCATAAGGAGGCCGTCTTTGGGGTATCTCACAACTCAGTTATCATCATCACTGAGTGGGGAGTAGATGCTGCAAAAAAAAAGCTTTACAAAGCATCAGAAATTGTCCACGGCCATCCAGAACTGAGGGACTCGCAGCAGGAGTGCCCACCTATGGCGGAAAAACTGCAGCAAAGTTACTTTCTTCCCACAGCTGGTGGTGAGGAGAGACACTGGGAGGGGAGGGGACAGGAAGGGAAGTGTCAGACTATTAGGAAGCAGGGGTTTATGCCAATGGGCACAGCTTTCTTAACATAACACACTGTGAACATGCTCCAATTAGCTTGGGGTCCTTAAGAACACCATACAGATTTCTAACTCCGAAACCAAAGACCACTGTGCCAGACTGTACAGAGTATCCAGTGCATTTCAGAGCACACACACTCATCCAGTTAGTGTATCACACAGTCCAAGAGCGTCTTCTGGGATGTACTTATCCAGAACATGTTAGTACAAATTTTAATGCCTTTTTCTCTTTTGTTCTTACTTCATCTCTCTTACCTCAGACGTTTTAAATGTTTTACTTTTGTTTTTGTGGTGCCCAGATCAAACCCAGGGCAACCCACATGCTGGGCAAATACTCTACCGTTGGACTACAACCCCAGGGCAAGATAAACTAATTTTTAAACAAGCTAAATTAAAATTCTTGAAGGATTTGATAAGTGAATATTAAAAGGTAAATTATTACCTGTTCTCACAGATTTCTTATTTTTCAAGTCAAATGCAATGTGTGATAATTATTAATATTACATTTCCCATTTACTTGATAATTGTTTCTTAATTAGTCTTATTGCTACTGATCATTTCCTATTGTTAAGAAAATAGATACTGTTACACACTTACTTTAATGCAATAGGAGAAGCAATTGTCTTCGTAGTGTTTGCAACATCTATGCCTTGGTCCACGCTTGCATCTGAAATTAAACCCCAAAAAGTCCAATTAAAATGAATACATGTACATGTGTGTGTGAGCACCAGTTGCATATGTGTCATTGTAGATCTGTTTAGAACTAACCCAAAGGAAAAGAAATCACCACTTGTTTCTAAAGGCATGCAACTTTTGTATTTTAGGACATACTGAACAAGTAACAGATTTTTGTAGATTTTTTTTATTGCTTACCATTTGATGCATTGTATAGAATATGTAACTTCAGTAAAAATACTTGAACGTGGAATATACAAACCACATTGTTAAGTATTTTTGACTAACTATGAAAACTATGTGTATATTACCTATATATACTGCCAAATCTTTGGATGCTTTAAATTGCTTATTGCATAGTACAATGATCATAAATCATCCGTGAAGCCAATACTTGAGCAAAAAGCATAATGAGAATGTGCTCACGTTACAGAAATATATACTTAATTATATATGAGAGAAAACATCTGGAAAAGAAACATAATACAGTATTAGAATCCAAAATTCAGTTTTTAAATAAATATACAAATAAAAATCATATGTGACTTCAAAAGGGTTATTGTAAATTTAACTGTAAACCACTTAACCCTCTAGTGTTTAATAAAACTATTTCTGCTGAGAGGACTACTGTTTAAGACATGTTCATTTTAATTGTTCAGTGCATTGGCTCCACCCTTGGCATAAAAAATAAGCAGGCTGAGTCTAGCTCTCTCCCTTTCCCTCTAAGGGTTCATGTTCCAAAATAAGCAGTCCTTATAACTTCTTTTTGACTAATGAATTATTTTCATGGTTGAAATACACAATCTCTTTCCTGTTTATTACAAAAACTAACACAGCAATGTTCCTGCTCTGTACCCCTCTCATTTGCAACCTGATTAACAACATCTTTCCAGAAATCTCACTCTCAACTGCAGTTGTATTATACAGGCAGCTTTTCCCTGTCAAAGGTGGCAGCAACAGTTCACACGGATCCAAGTCCTGATACTATTAGAATGATATGATATATCTGGCCATGAGAAGTTGTTGAGTGATTAAAGCTGGAAGCATGAAAGGAGAAGGATCAGAGAAAGGACTGCCTCATGCAAACCATCACTCTTCAGACTTCCAAGCATCCTCTTCAAAAACACCTCAGTCTGTGCTGCCAGAATTATACATAAATTATTAAACTCTGATAGTCATTTACTAGTGTCATTTAATCTCTCCTTTGTCACCTATTAAAAATGAGCTCCCAAGTCCTGGACAGTTTGCCTCTTATATTGCTTTGCTTCTGCATTATTCTGCATCAAGTTTTACCCTGGTGGGCCCACTGAGACTACCCTGACAAGTTCTGTCATGACTCTATCGTTCCTGACACCCAAGGCATCATTTACCACATAATTTACACTCTCCTCTGATTTTAGTTGAAATGATTCCCAGTAATCGGAACCCTTTCTCATTTTTCTCCACTAAGGTTACTCGTAACTATTTTGAACATAATTATCCCTGTCATCCATCACTCCTTTCTTCACTCCTGCATTCTGAGCGCAATATAAAATCAGGGAAACAATCTCTAAATTCAGTAAAAATTTAAGCGCTCACTCAGTGTTTATACATTATTCCTAGGTGGTTTTATATGTTCTTTCGTCTAAGGCTTAAACAATTGTAATAGAGATTATTAACCTCAGTTAACAGATAAGGGCTCTGAGATGCACAGTGGTCAAATTACTTAAAGTCACAAATCTGGAAGAGGCAAAATAAGAGTCTAAGACAGGTTTTCTGATTTCTTAAAGGGCTTTATCTCCTCATCAATGATCCTTCACTTTTAAGATTGCTTACACTCTGTCCTCTCTAAAATAATCATTACCACAACCACCTTCACTCACTGATGTTCTAAATTTCAAACCCTTAAATTTACTAAATGTCCATATTGGAAATTAAACAAATGTATGAAACATAAAGATTTGTCTTCTGAATAACATAAAAAATTTCTTATCTCAGTCTAAGAATCCTAAAAATTTTCATTCTTACAAAATGTCTTTACTTGAGGTTTGTTCCTTATTATTTCTGTATCTTCTTGAATCTCGGCAAATGGTAATCTGTTTCTTGAAGTTCCTGCTTAGTTTGAACTAAAAGAGCATTTCAATTTCATGCAGATGTACTTAAAAGGCACATGACGGTTTACCATCCTCTGAGCAGGAATAAAACATTCCCTGGCCATCATTTGCTTTTTTTACAACACTTTACACACTTTCTGGTGAAAGAAAAGAATGTAACATTGTTGCCTAGAAAGAAAGCATACTAACAGGGTACAGATATCATATAACACATTGCCACTGTGTGCTAGGATATTAAGAGAAAGAACTCACATTGAGTCCACGAATTTCCTAACCAGAGCGATTACATTCATTCTTCTCGGTTTTTCTTCATGCTCTTCCCTCCTGTGTTCCACCTTTGCATATGCTGCCTCTGGAGAATAAGAATGCGTGGGAATTTCTTCCTTCCCTACAATGAACCTAAGGAAAAGAAGGAAACTATAAGGCATTTTTCATCATTAAAAACTAGGAACTGTGGACAAATGAAATACGAAAATTTGAGCATTTAGAAAAGAGAAAGAAAAAGCCACAATTATCAACAACTGCAACCCATCCTGTTTGAACAAACTTGGTAAAATATGCAGCTTATTAAATCATAACGAGTGTGCAAAGGATGTGTCACCTGATGTTATCTGTGAAACCTTGGTCCCTGCAAGCCCAAAAGGATGTGCTTCTTCTCCATGGGTGTGCATAGAGTTTAAGATCTGTGCTACTGTTTTGCTGTCCTTGCTGTTTTGGGAGTTTTGCTTGTTTCTGCTTTTATAGCCTGGGGGACTGAAGCCTGGGCCTTTGTACAGGCTACAGCTCCAGTCCTTTTTTTACAAATATTTTGTTGAGACAGGATCTCAGTAAGTCACTAACTTGGCCAAACTGAACTAGAAATTGTATGAGCCTCTCAGAGTGCCGGGATTACAGGCTTTCACCACCACACAAGGGTAAAACTATCCAGAAAAATGTAACGCTCTCACATCTTGCACAGTGCTCACATTGCTGCTCCTCTGGCCAGCGCTGGCCATCTCAGATTAGCGGTCACTTTTGGGGTAAGCTGTTCCTATCTCAAGGCAAGATAAGTGATCCAGATTTGACCATACTCCAAAAAAACCAATGCCTCAGTACTCCTCTTCTTATCTGGATCTGTTTTTTTATTCTCACAGCCAATGAACCCCCAGGATGGCAAGCACCATATTAGCAGTCTGTACCTTCCACTGAAATCTGGGGATTGAGAGACTAGCTTGGCATCTGACATACAGTAAATATTTAACTAATATATACTGAATGGATGAATGAACGAATGTAGTAGCATTTTCTGAGTACTTACTGCGCAACAGGCACAGTGCCAGTGGAACCTTTTACAAATATTATTTAGTTCTCTTAGAAACACTGTAAGTATCATAAGTCCTATGAAATTTACTATGAATAGGTATCTTGCCCTCAGGCAATAAACGGTTAATAGTTATTTGAACACAGAACCATCTGACTCCAAACCCTGGCCCCTTAATCAACGAACTCCGTACACTTCCAACTGTGCCTTAAACTGCGGTAAATCCAGGATCAGCAGGCCCTCAAATACTGCACTGGCTTCTCTCCCATGATTCTGTCCTGGACGCTTCCTATCTGTTCCCATGATTTTTATCAGATCTGGCAGATAAAAGCCAGATCATCCGAGGTACAACTTTCAGAGGAAGCTTCTTGAAATATAGATCAGCATTTCCTACTTTTTTACTCAACCAACTGCACTGGCTTAGGGCCTACTGAATTAACTATAAACTTCAAGTTTAAAACAGTATCTGGGAAAGAGTACTATGTGGGCTATTATACATTACAGTTAACTGAACTACTGGCCATACTCCAAAAATAACCAATGCCTCAGTACTCCTCTTCTTATCCGGATCATTCTTCCCTGCATCTATGCTAACATCTTACCTGCCTTTTGAAATTGATCAGAAATGCTTCCTCTCACCCTCTTCTGTCCATCCTCCTTATAGAAAAAAATAATTTGTTAACTGTACAGCACTTAATTTCTATTCTCGCACAGCATTTGGGCTTTTTTATCCTATAGATAATTCTGTGCAATCTTCCTGCTTCCTCCTCTCTTTATTTCTCTCCACAACTTGGGGACAGACAGTAAGTTAGGTCTGCCTGACATATGTTGCTGAAATAACCTATACTTCTCTTTTGTAATGCTCAGCATAATTGATACTGTCTTCCTTACTAAACCATGAGTTCAAAAGACAGTGACTGTATCTGACTCATTCACCAATGTATTCTTAATGCACAAGTTCTGGGGTAAAAAGTAAAAGTATTCCAAATAAACAGTAAATGAAAGTTATGTTTGCTGTCCACATATTATCTTGCAAATGTTTAGTGCTTAAAATATAACTTGGGTACTTTGCGAATACTCATACTTTGTGATTAAAGGATAATTTTCCTCAGATGGAACAATGTGTTTTCATGATAGAGTAATTAGGATCTGCATAAGAGGAAGACTTCCTTCATGTGACTGTATTCATTCAAGTTTAGGAATGCTCAGGGCTGTCCTGTGTACCAGACATTTTATATCTTTTGTTTATCAAAGTTTGATATTGCCAGAAAGCAGAATTAAATTTAGCTACAAGTATTTTTGTAACCCCTCCCTTTTGTAATTAATACTAAATGTTGTAGTTTTTACATGGCATAAATTTATAGCACATGTGTGCAATAAAAATCAGGATAGCCAAAAATCAAAAGATGTAGAGTTAGAAAGTCATACAAGATAATACTTTTTGGAAGCCTACAAAAACAGCATACAATGAGCCACATTACTTTTCAAGAATGAAATTTGACAGTACTAGAATGACAGTACTAGAATGAAATTTGACAGTACACTTGGCTTTTGGCACTATTCTTCTGAGTATGAATTTCATATCTTTGAGAATCAATTTCCAGTGCAAGAACCCTGAAATGAGATCACATCTGTTTAGTGAAAGGAGATATACAATATGAGTAAGTGACACTTCACAGTACTTAATTTTCTTTGACAACAAGAATATTAGCATGAATAAACATTTCCCATAACATTTCTCTATAATAATGTATAGGGAAAATTTTTAAGGGCAAACAGTCCAAACCAGCCCCTTACTACAAGTGGGTTTGAATAAGATGCATAAAAATATGCCTGAAAAAACTTTGAGTTGTTGCAGTTTCTTAAAGTTTTCATTTCAGGAAAATCACCTTTTTGTTTTTTATCAACTGTCAGTTAAAACAGAGGCTTTAAAAACAACAGCAATAAAGTTATTTTCTAGTAAGTGTATGAGCTTTTAGTGAAAACCGCAAGGTAAAGCAATTGTGGATTATGACTTAGAAAGGTTTTGTTACCGTAAGTTTCCACAAGCAAAAATATTTTTAATCATATAATGAATTCATTCTTTTTCCCTCCAAGCCCAATTTCCTTGCATGTCATCTGACTCTGTTAGTGGGAATTCCTCGTAAGTTCTTAGGCTTTCAACATTGTTCTAGGACTGAGAGGTAGAGGGGAAAAGAAGGGCTGAACACACCAGGCACGAGGTTACCATTTCCTTTCGAGTTTCAGGTTTGTCTTTTCCACTTTAATCCTCCCAGTCACCCAAATCCCAGCCCTTATTATTCTGTTTTTCTACCTTGAAGTTCCATCTTTTTCTGTGTCCAAATACTATGGCTAGATGAATCATTCTGAAAAACTGTCTACAAGCTGCTCAAAATTCCTTAGTGGCTCCCTATTGCCCACCTTATCAGATCTAACTCTGTCTTCTCCACACACCACCCCTTTCCAGAATCTGATCCGAGTGTACCTACCAAAAATACCTTATATTCCTCACTGTAACATTTCCTTACTATTTCAGTAGATTTTCTCAGTCCTGTGTCCCATTTCATGTTTACAATTTTCATTCTTTTGCTAATATTACTCACTGCCACCCGGAGCGCTTTTCCTCTTTATTTGTACTTAGCTAAAATTATCCTTCAAATGTAGCTTAAAGCATGTAAGATTCATAGCAACAATAATGGATGACATTTTTACTTATAACTTGCCAAGCACTGTTCAAATATTTTCATTTACTAGTTCATTTGACCCTCAACATAATTTTATGGGACAATCACACAAAACTTTGCCAAATCCCGAGACTCAGCCTAACTTTTCCCTCTAATACTTGTAGTAAATATCATGTGAATAAGCTGCACTAAGCATCTACCGTATGTGCTAAGCAATGGACTATGAGGTAAAGAAAAGACTCCAGCTACACTCAAGATCTAATGTGTGTTTGACAGAATCTGTCCTACTCATAATTTGGTGCCACACACTTAAGTCCTTAATTTTTTGGTAATTGCTCATGTTCAGCTTTGTCTTTCAAGCTCCTATTAATATAATGAGTTCTTGTGTTTCTTTACTGGCAATTTACAACATAAAGCACACAATAGGCCCAAAAAGTAGAAGCTGACTAATTTTTAAGGGAAAATAATCTAATAAATTACTCTTTCCATGAAGTATCCATAAAGGCTTAGAATTATTGTTATGACTTTAAAAATTGCTATTAGCTTAAAAATTTAGTCAACAAATATTATAATTACAAATACTTTTAAAAGTTAACTCATAAATTCTCACTCAACATAAAGATAAATAAAATGATACTTACCTAAGTGCCGAAAATGTAAATCCCTTCAAACCATCTTTGCACCTGAAACAAAAATTCAGTCATAAAATAATGTTTTGAGATATAAAGTAGTAAATTTGTAGGTACCAATTTTTTTTCTAAGAATGGTATTCTAAAAGGTGAAACTCTTAGTGTAATGATCTAAGTATTACAAGTGGTCAAATAAGCAACAAGCAATGGAGCAGCTCATCTTACACAAAACTGTTAATGTAATGCTTTGCTGTGTCGTACTAACATAACTTAGCGCTCAGTTCTCAGCTCTTCTAATTGCTCCAACTGGACCTAAAATGAGGGCTGGGAGCAAAGAATTCTTCATTCTGCCCAATACCTTAGGGAGTGATTTTTATGTTTACAGAAGCTATATATACTTTCTAGGTATTATATATAGGTCTATTTGAGGTCTCCGTTTCTCTCTTAATTCAATAAATGTAGAGCACCATGAAACTGGCAGGCTCAGAAAAGCTTCAAATTCAGTGCAACCATTTTACCTTCTGATTTAGTCCAATCAGAACAAATAACAGCATAGAGAACAGCGTCAGGGTAGGGACAGAGCACAAGGAGAGAATTCCACTTAGTACTGTGAGTGCTTACGATTTACATCACATCTCTCTGAGTAGAATTTTCTCTATCTCATATCTGCACAGAGGTTCAAACATTGCAAGAGGTCACAATATTAATAGCAGTCAGAATTTAGGGTGGGAGCAAAAACAGTTGATCTGACTTTAAAAGTCATGCTTTTTTCCTACCCATCCTCATTTTTTTTAATTAAGAAAAACCAAAAATTCTACAGATTTGCAAAAGTCTAAAGATCTGATCACCTTAAGTAAAGGGCCTGTGAGATTTATCATCAAAATCCCTTAACAAAATCTGTAAAGACTGATGGTACAATAATGCTTATATGCTCAAAACATGTGGTGAAGTTTTATATTTTGTAGAAATTATTATAAAAGACATTGCCATTAATCCTCCTCAAGATAGTTCCTTGCTTCAAAAACACTTAGCCTGTTTCTTGCCACTTTCTGAAGTAGCTCTGGAGATCCCCTTTCATGAGTGTCTTTAGTTGCACTGTCATGGCTGCTCGGGTGCCTGAGCTGATGCAAAACATTCACTTTTTATGGTCATTTTGACTTGGAGGAAGAGCCAAAAGCTCACAGAGCCAGAACCGGTGAATAGGTAGATAAGGACACACCGTTATGTTTTTTTATTTGATGGAAACTGCCATAAATGTATGATCAATCTGGGATGATAAAATATGGTAAATATTTAAATTTAAAAATTTATTATGGTCAAAGATGCACTGCTATTAGTTCCCCTAAAAAAACTCCCCTCACTTCAAACACACTTATCCCACTGCTCTTGGCAGTGTGTCTTTCATTGTAATAAGTTTTTAAAAATTTAAATATTCACCATATCTTTTGATCATCCCTTGAATGTTAATATTAAGACCTTGGATATTCTTGAAGAAATAGTACAACTTCAAATATAATTGAATACAACTCCTTCTGTATATGTCTTTTTTATGAAATATCATAAAGGAAACTCACAAAAGAAATCTCTGTATATAATATATAAATACACATAGGATATAACATAGAATCTCAGAAAAAAATTAATCCACGTACACAGAAATGTTTAAACAACTTAAGGATTCATTTCACTAAGGACATAGTGTCCTTTGTGGTCATGTTAACAGAGAAATATAACCACTGAATTGAAGTAATATATTACATAATTATCTTTTTTTAAATTATCTTTTCTATACAGAATGAAAGTAAAGGCAAAACAATTCCTAAGTCAAGCTAAAAGATGTCTATGTGGAAATTATAACATTAAAATTCTTAAGTTTATGTTTTTCTAATCTGAATAAAATATTTCACAGTAATATAAAACCCAGAAGTAGTACAGCTAGGCAAGTTCCAGCCCACCTGGTGACTTAGGGACTCTGCAACAGTCTGTTACAAAATTATTTTTTTTCTTTTTATTCTTAGTAAAAAATAAAAAAATAAAAATACAGAATTTCAAAACAAGATGAAAGGAAATTAACAATGGTTGTTATACTGTATATTGTTATCTTCAAAGTAGTTGCTCAGATTACCAGATATAGGCATGCAAAATTGATCAATTAGGCATTAATTGTTCCTTTCAATAAACCAATACAAATTAGCAGTACAATTATCTTAGCTATCTGTGAGTATATATATATATATATATACATATATATATATATATATAATTTTCCCCAAAATTAAAACAATATAAAGGACTAGGGATGTAGCTCAATGGGAAGGCACTGGGTTAAATCCACAGTACCACCAGAAAAGTAAATTTAAAAAAAAAAGAAAGAAAGAAAATCCTAGATGGGTGGAGTGGTGAGAGAGCACAGGCCAGGTGTCTACTGACAGGAAAAAGGAAAACAGTAGATTAATTAAAAGATTATGTACATTTGAGAACAAATTTTGCCTTTGATATCTCATTGTTAAAAATTCCCCCATTTATCTCTGTGTAATGCTGAATAGATAAAAGATTCTGCCAACTTTGTCTCCTCAACATAGCATATTTGTCACACTGAACAGTAAATTTAATTGCAGACCAAACATCAAAAAACAGCTTTCAAGTATAAAAGGGGCATACACAAATGAGTCTGCAGTTTCATTATGATTGAAGCTTACTCCTTTCAGTAGAACCCTGTGGGAAGCACTGCGTATTGATAAAGTCTTAACACGGATTCTAAAGGGCTATTCTTCTTTCCATTCATGTGTATAAGGTTTGTTAATGTAATTGAGGGTCAGATGTCTATGTCAAAAGAACAAAAAAGTAATTATTCCCATAAGAAGAATCTTTAAAACAGTAATACTGTCCTACATTTTCATATTAAGAGTATTGTCTGAACATTATACTAATATGAAACACTACTGTAATCTGTGAAAAATGTAGAAAAGATGATATAAATATAAAGATGTAAACAAACCCCACCGAAAGGTACCTCATTTTTCTATAGAATTTGTTACCACAATATAAATCAAATCACATTCTTCATTTAAGTATTAATGCTCACCGACTCAATTATTATTACTAAGTGTTACCATGTGTAAGTGCTGGTTTTAAGTTCTAAGGATGCTAACACTGAACAACAGAGCGTCCCTGCTTTCATACAGGTGACATTCTAGAAATGGGAGAGTAAGATAAGACTAAGTCATAGCATGAAACTTGCCAATGTAAAAAAACTGAATGGAAAAAAATGTGATGGAATCAAGATTTCTTATTTTATGGTCAAGAAGAGCTTCTCTAACAGGTAAAAGTCGGTAATCTCATCAGAAACCTTGATGAACTGAAGGAAGGCATTTTAGTTTGAAGTATTAACACCAAATACAAAGCCCATAACGAGAGTCAGGAAAACAGCAAGTGGATTATGTAACTGGGGCAGAGAAGTAGGTGTAAGAAATGCAGCCAGGTCATCACAGTAACATGGGTGAGGAGCAAATGGTCTGCAATGCGCAAAGATTCCTTTAGGCATTAAGAGGATTTGGGAATGTTCTCAGCAAAGGAGTGACATGACCTGTCATAACTTCTAACAGAACCATTTTGGCTTCTGGACTGAATGTAAACTACAGGAGAGCAAATTTAGAGTGAAGGAGTGTAGTAAGAATGGGAAAGATAACTGTGGTATGAGGTGGAAGACAGTATTAAAAATTGGAATGCATTCAAAAGTAGAGCTGGCAGAATTTCTTGACAGAACAAATGTGGGGTAAAGAAGATTATTAGTTATTAGTGACCACAAACTATTGAAATATGTTTTCTTGGAGAAAATAGGAAGATAAAATGATCACTTACTAAAAGTGAGGATACTATTGGATGAGTAGTTTCAAGGACAGAATCAAAGGTTTCTTTTACACGTGTTACATTTGAAATGTACTTCAGTTAATTAAATGGAAAAGTGAAGGAAGCAAGTGTCTGGTTACAAAAATCAGGAGTCACTGAAGAGACCTGATTCATTTACATGTAGTACTCGAGACGAGATACAGTCATATGTAAGAAAGAAGTGTAGATAAAGGAATTATACAAGGACTTAATATATTTTATTCCTCCATAACCTTTAATGCAAAAATATCTCTTAGAAGAAAAACAAAAATAATTATGCCTAGTCAATGTAGTCTCTAAGTGTTATTTTTATTTTCAAGTGTAAAGACAACATATGTAACTCATGCATACACCGACTTCTCTATTTAGTCTATACATGTGATGTAAAATAACTACCATAACTTAATCCATATATACTGAACCTTTACTTTGTAAGATTAGTGATAAGCTAAAGCATAATATATAATAGAGCGGGGGGGGGAGGAAAAGGGACATGAAGCATTACATCAACCAATCGATTCAATCAATTCAATACACAAATAATTGCAGAAATTCAGATTGGAATTACATACTAAGGACAGTAAATCACAAAAAAAATTAACACCATCAATATCAGAACAATACTCTCAGTCAATTGTCAAATTTTGAGTTCGAAGTGTAAACCGTAAGTAAAAGAAACAATTCTGCCCCTAAGACTTTTTCTCCTGTGATTAATTTCCATGATACTACAGTGCTGTACTTCCATGAAGCGCATTCATTTTATTACAATATGATACCAGCAGATGTCGCTACAATATTGTTTTTGAAAGAATTTGCAGTCCTACGTGATTTCTGCACTAAACATCTTGAAAGTTTTCTGCTAAAAATACATTTCTAGAGACTCACAAATTTTACTGATTGTAATAAAATCATTTCTTCAAGTAAATATTAGGATATTAGATTTTCAATGGTGGGTGATGTCTCTGTTCCTATACCCTATCATCATACTATTAAAAATGTTTAGGGGCACCCTGTCTGAAATCAACATAAAACTTGATGATGTAAGGTGATGCATTATTGTATCTTCTCAAATGAGCTGAAAACAATGAAAAGAAACTACTTTTATTCTTTCTAAAATAAGTTTGTTTTCTACTCAGCTTCCATTCATTTGATAAATACATTGGATG